CTGTTGATCAATAATGGGGACTAAGACTTTGATCTTATCAGTAACGGAATAACCTCATCAGCATGACGACATCGAATAATTCATTGTCGATCTCCTTTAGTTCGCATGTTTGTTGATGAACTTCGGGTAGCTTATCTCCGTACTGATTGCCGTTGGTGGCAGCTCTAGCAATGGCCTCCAATTTGAGCTGCTGAATTTTGAGGAGTTGCTGTAAAGCTGTTCGGGCTTGCTCAATGGCATCATCTTCTTCATTGGAGAGTTGTTCCTGGATTTCTGCCATTTCTTCGAATGTGATTCCGGAGTCATAGGTGAATCGATCTTCAATCTGTTGGAGAAGAGATTGGTACTGTACAGCATGGGGATGAAACTGTGGATCAATCCAACGGCTTGATGGTTCAGTTTCAGCGAGGATGATTCTTTCTTCTCTTCGCAGCAATGGATAAGTTCTTCTATTTGCTGTAGGCCGACTAGAACCTCCATATCTTCCGGCACCACCTCTGTTGGCCATTCTGTAAAAGAAAACAGTGAATATACAAGCCTTGAAAGGGCATCAGCTAGAGTATTATCAGAACCATTAATATGTTCTAAAGATACATCTATGCCTAGGCCGGTTATGTAGTCTGTAAAGGCTATCCATCTAGACCGTGATGGTTTATGGTCCACTGTTTTGTTGAAGAAGCTGATTATAGCTTGACAATCCGTTCTCAGAATTAGCTGCTGTTTATCAAGATAATATATCTTGAATGATTCCAGGGAATTCATGCACGCATAAATTTCAGCATCAATTGTTGATTTGATGGGATTGAATTTCCCACTGGCGTACGCGCAAATCTTTTCAGTTGATCGCGGATCATTCACAGCTGGCTTCCACTTGCAGATTCCTCCCCATCCTTCCATACACCCATCAGTTTCAAGAATAATGGCGCATTGTAATGGAGGAATTGATAGATTTGGCAGCTTCTGGATTTTGGCTTTAATCTTATGGATCAAATCCCAGTCTTGAGCATTGAGCCTCTTTTCACCATTTGGACTGACCTTTGAATAGAGTGGGCTTAACATTTGGCCCAAATCCTTGATGTAATTTCTTGCATAGTTAAGAAGGCCCAACCAAGAGCGTAAGCCCTTAGTTTCTTTGAGAGTATCATCTGGGAACTGGGCTACTTTTGTAACAATGTGGGGTTGCAACTTTATTTCCCCTTGCCCAATTGTTGAGCCCAAGAAATCCATCTGAACAGCTGCTATCTTCATTTTTGTTGGGCTCAGAATTAGCCCATTCTTCTTACAAATTTCAAGCATGGACTGGATATGCTTTGCATGTGATTTTTCATCAGGAGAGAAGACCAAAATATCATCAATGTAGACTGCAATATAGTCTTCAGTTCCTTTGAAACATAAGTCCATCTTTCTTTGAAATACTGCTGGAGCATTCTTCAATCCGAATGGCATGACCAACCATTCGTATAATCCAAGGGGTGTCCAGAATGCTGTCCATTCAATTGAATCAGGATGCATAGCAACCTGATGAAATCCACTTTTCAAGTCAAACTTGGAGTAAATACTACTATGACCAATCTTTGCCATTATAGTATTTATACCAGGCAGACTGTATTGATCCTTATGGGTGTTATCATTCAATCTCTTGTAGTTACACACCATTCTTTCTTTGCCACGTTTCTCCTCCTTTGTGACAGGATCAATATACGTACCAGAATTTACAATGAATGCAGTGGTACGATGCCGACTTTTGCTTGGCCTGATTACTTTGAGCTGAAGAAGCTGTTCAATGTGTTTTCCAAAACTCTCCTTCATTGCTGGAGTCACATGCTTCATTGGTCTGTCATTGATTACGAAATCAGGATTCTTCAGGTCCAGCTTACAAGTAATCTGATTTAGTGACCAATATTTCATAGGATCATCGCCTATGATACCATAGTTTTTGAGCTTCTCCATTATTGCTGAGAATTTCTGCTCAAAATGAGGATTGACTTTAGTGGAATGAAATATCCATTCAGTTGAAGGATCATAATAGTGGTCCACTGTCAAGTCGTCTTCCTCTTCAAGTCCTTCCAAAAGATTTACTGATTGTCGAGTCTGAATTGTTATTACATTCTTGTAGAATGTAACATTATCTCCTTCTATTCTGACTCCTCCGTACATTGCTCGGATAAAATTGCATCCGATAATCATCTGGATTCGGCCTCCAAGGTGGAATGGAAAACTATATGTGTAAGGGATTCTGAACCAATTATCCCCTATGTACATTTTTCCACCCTTCAACTTTTTATTTGCCTTTGATTTAGAATTCAAACCATTAAATTCAACGGTATATGAATTTTCTTCCAAGGCATCAGCTGGGACTGATTCAGAGTCTACGACGCAAGTTGTTGCTCCTGTGTCCAGGATTGCGTGTAGAGAGATCTTCTGAAGACCAGGAATTTCAAGTTCCACCGTGAGGTTATAGAGCATATTCTTCTTTTTCTCTTTTACCTCTCCTCCAGCTATCATTTCTTCAAGAGCAAGAGCTGTTTCCGGAACTTCCTTAAATCGAACATGAGTTTCTTGTTCCAATGCTTCTGCTTCCAAATCATGGAGCTCTTCTTCTTTATACTTTCCTTTTCTTCTGAGTTCCCGTTCATCATCTTGTAATTGCATTACTGTCTTGAGTTCTTCAAGCTCTGTTTTGTATTGAATTGCTTCCTCTCGAAGCCTCTTTATTTCAGCTTCACACCATCGAATGTATTCTTGTTGCTCCTGGAGTAATGGCTTCTGATTATAAGGAATTGGAGTCTTTCGAGTGATGAATGATGTGAAATTAAAGTAAGGCTTGGCACATAATGCACATGTCAAGGCATTGCATTTGTTACAGAAAGCCTTTGAATATGAAGTTAGATCTCTTTTGCATGTTGTGCACTCCGGTCTTCTATCCTCTGGTAATGGGTTCTGTTGGTCCTATTCATGCTGACAATGGTAGATTTCCGATGTGACTTTAATTTGTGCCCTGTATCCTCCTTCCTTTCCAAGCCAATAATATTTATCTTCTTGGAGCATGTAGATTGTCTCCATCAGACCTTCGCCAATGTGTTCAGTATCATCAAATCCTTCTGATACTGAGTATATTGCATCTGAGTCATCATCCCCTGGTTGAACAGACATAACATCATAATCATCAGGGATACCCAGGTTTTCGAACAAAGCCACCCTCTTGACATTCTTCTTCTCCTTCGTGCAATCCCTTGCATAATGTCCTTCCTCTCCACATAAATAGCATTTACAATGTTTGGATTTTTGCAAATACTTTCTCTTGTCAATTCGGACATGAGAATTATGTGGCTTCCCTTTATAGGTGGTAGCTTTTCGAATTCCGTACTTCTTCTCTGGTTCCTTGTAGTACCCAGGGATAGGAATTTCCCTGCAGAAGTCCAAATTTCGGAGTGACTTCTGGAATGCCGCATTCTTGCATTCAGCTTCCAGGTACTTGTAAGCGTAAAGAATTCGAGGAACGACGCCAATTGTGTTTGCTCCATGTCGTTCTGCAAATCCTTTCTTAATCCGTTCTCCAAGGTCGCCGGGCATTTTTGACCATAGCTTAGAAGATAGCTCTTCTCCTACGAACAACCTTCCTGACTTTGTAGCAAGATGAAGGTAATCATTCAAGAACTTTATGATATCCTTCACATCTCTACATGCTAGTCTTTCAAGGTCACGATAAGCTTCTTCTTGCATTAGGGTTGAACCTTGATAGGGATCTTCCAAGGTGAACACAGTTCTCATTTGGGAAATGATATTCTGTGTACCTTCATTCCCATCGCCTATGGCAATAAGATTAGCATATTCATCAGTGTATCTCATTCGCCATTGCGTCCATATTAGCACTTAGAAAATATAAAGAAGAAGAACTCCGAAAATATGAGGAAGAAGGAATATATTTCTGTTATATTCAAAACTTCTTATCTTACAAGACCAAATGACACTCCTTATATAGGAGATATTACAAACATCATCATAACCCATTATATGCCACTTACATATTATATATTACCACTATCTAGGAATGGTATGAAAAATCAGATACATCACGCCTAAGCTATCTTGATTTAGCCCATACTGAAAAACCCAGTACTAAAGAACTAGCTCATAATATTGCTGTCATCTATGATCGTGTCTGTCTCTCCAGTAAAGTCAACCTGAAGGAGTTCAATATGATCAGAATGATAATGAAATTATGAATTCTGAAGATGATACAAACTCTATTCAGAATGAAGCTCACAATCGGCAGGAAACACTTTTGTTCTTTGAAGAACATATGGAGGTTCTAGTCGGCCTACAGCAAATAGAAGAACTTATCCATTGCTGCGAAGAGAAGAAAGAATCATCCTCGCTGAAACTGAACCATCCTTCGTTGGTCTTGCCGGTATTCTCTGATTTGATCTTCAAACAGCGGTGCTCCAGGTGTTGCTGTTGTTGGTCGAGGCTGGTTGGTCACTCGTGGTAAAGTTACTGTCCGAGTTCTTGAGGTTGAGGCCATTATGAATTTTTAAGCCTGAGTTTGTCAAGCTCGTCCTGCAGCAACTAATGGGGACTAAGACTTTGATCTTATCAGTAACGGAATAACCTCATCAGCATGACGACATCTTCTATCTTCTGGTAATGGGTTCTGTTGGTCCCATTCATGCTGACAATGGTAGATTTCCGATGTGACTTTAATTTGTGCCCTGTATCCTCCTTCCTTTCCAAGCCAATAATATTTATCTTCTTGGAGCATGTAAGAAATTGGATCATACGTCCACCAGCCAGACGTGATATTCTGTGTACCTTCATTCCCATCGCCTATGGCAATCAGATTAGCGTATTCATCAGCGTATCTCATTCGCCATTGCGTCCATATTAGCTTGATCTCCTGTCCATCTTGTGTCCCTAAGAACTAGGACCGCAAGATTTCCTTGTTCAATTCGATGCAGAAACGCAAAAAGCAGGACCGAATTTGCCGAACTTGTTACCCCATGAGTGAGTATGAAGAACTTGATAATGTTCAATTTATCAGACTACTACCACAGGCAACCAGACCCACTCGAGCAACTGATGGAGCTATTGGTTATGATTTAACATCAATAGCCATGTATATAATCCCAGCTCAAGGAAGAATGCTAATCTCCACCGGCATAGCCATGGAAATACCTTACGGACTTTATGGAAGACTTGCCCCTAGATCTGGACTTGCTCTAATACATGGAATAGATGTTGGAGCAGGAGTCATTGACCCTGACTACAGAGGGGAAGTTAAAGTACTCCTTTTTAATCATAATCAGGAGGAATTCATAGTTCGTGCTGGAGACAGAATCGCTCAGATCTTATCAGTAACGGAATAACCTCATCAGCATGACGACATCGAATAATTCATTGTCGATCTCCTTTAGTTCGCATGTTTGTTGATGAACTTCGGGTAGCTTATCTCCGTACTGATTGTCGTTGGTGGCAGCTCTAGCAATGGCCTCCAATTTGAGCTGCTGAACTTCGGGTAGCTTATCTCCGTACTGATTGTCGTTGGTGGCAGCTCTAGCAATGGCCTCCAATTTGAGCTGCTGAATTTTGAGGAGTTGCTGTAAAGCTGTTCGGGCTTGCCCAAGGCATCAGCTGGGACTGATTCAGAGTCTACGACGCAAGTTGTTGCTCCTGTGTCCAGGATTGCGTGTAGAGAGATCTTCTGAAGACCAGTTCCTACTGATGTCCTACGAGGAAGAAATTGGATCATACGTCCACCAGCCAGACGTGTACACCCTCAACAGCCAACTACTGTTGTATCTCGCAATTTACCTGGCGGAAATTTCAGCCTGCGATTTGGTGATTCAATTGAATGGACAGCATTCTGGACACCCCTTGGATTATACGAATGGTTGGTCATGCCATTCGGATTGAAGAATGCTCCAGCAGTATTTCAAAGAAGGATTGACTTTAGTGGAATGAAATATCCATTCAGTTGAAGGATCATAATAGTGGTCCACTGTCAAGTCGTCTTCCACTTCAAGTCCTTCCAGAAGATTTACTGATTGTCGAGTCTGAATTGACAGTGGACCACTATTGCACTCAGCTTCGAGGTACTTGTAAGCATAGAGAATTCGTAGAATCCCTTGAAGGCAGGATTCGTGCCTTGGAAGAACCAATTATCCCCTATGTACATTTTTCCACCCTTCAACTTTTTATTTGCCTTTGATTTAGAATTCAAACCATTAAATTCAACGGTATATGAATTTTACAAAAATGATCTGAGCGATTCTGTCTCCAGCACGGACTATGAATTCCTCCTGATTATGATTAAAAAGGAGTACTTTAACTTCCCCTCTGTAGTCAGGGTCAATGACTCCTGCTCCAACATCTATTCCATGTATTAGAGCAAGTCCAGATCTAGGGGCAAGTCTTCCATAAAGTCCGTAAGGTATTTCCATGGCTATGCCGGTGGAGATTAGCATTCTTCCTTCTTCCTTGAGCTCTGGGATTAGTAACATGTGCTATTGAATGTTAATCATAACCAAGTCAGCTCCATCAGTTGCTTCGAGGTGGGTTCTGTTGCCTGTTCTGCGGGTAGTAAAAAAAAGTCCTGATAAATTGACAACATCTATCAAGTCTCCTTCATACTCACATCATGGGGTAACAACGTTTCGGCAAATTTCCGCGCCTCCTCGCTTTTGCTTTCTTCTTTCTAGACCGGCGAGAATTGTGGTTGATGATGATTCAGATTCGAATTCCGGTCTTGGTCTTGGCACCATTTCCACACCACGTTCCGTTTGCCGCTGTCGAAAAGCATGTATAGCGAGCCACGCCACTATAGGCTGGTCAACGAGTTTTCCTTTAAAACAACGCATGGTCTTTGTTTTCTTCAAGAAACAAAAGGTGGTTTCCTGCCGTTGTGACTCATATCTGAATAGAGTTTGTATCGCTATCTTCAGAATTCATAATTTTCATTACTCATTCGATCAAATATTAGTAAGCCTGGATACCTGCACGCTGGGCGGTCTACATAAATTGGATTGGAGCTGAAAATAAACACATACGCTACGCCGTTCAACCATGTCAGAAAGTAATGCCAAACAGTAATGTAGAAATTTTTAATTTTCCCTTGTAAAAATAACATCGCACTATACTGTTGACAAGAAAATTGCTGGGATCACCACGATTAAT